ACACATTTGGTTTATGTTTTCATTTGGAACATAATGTAAAATTATCCCACTGCATTTGTGTTCATTGAAATAAAGGCTGTTATGAAACGTTTTAGCTTTTCTGTAATTATTTTTGAACAGCAGTAACTATGAGGCCTAATGCAGGACTGCGGAATATCATCATTCAGCCCTCCGTGTGACCTCGTAAAAGACTGGCAAAAATGACTCATTTAACAGCAAAGATTTCATATTACTTCACCTTCAACTAGCTGTTGGAGATGAGTATATTAGCCTAAATACTGAAATTTCTAAAGCTGTTGAAACCTGGCATCAGTAAATACAATAAGGCTTTGTACTTTGCAATATAAGTACCTAGGCTACCTTATATGCAAGAGATGAAAATCACATGTATGCAAAGCTACATTTAGCTTAAGTATATAAGATCACTGAGTAATTATATTCTGCTGTAATTTATAATTTATGTTTGTCTTAATTTAAATTCTATCCAAAAAGTCTTAAATTTAACTCAATGTGACTTGTATAAACACTGTATATACACCTGAAAAATAGTTAATTACTAGTTACTAATTAAGTTACTAATTAAGCTGGAAACACATTACAACCCATGAATAAGCAGTTAAAATTAAATTTATTTAGGGTAAATTCATTGTAGCTGTGCTACTGCTGCCTGTTGAATATAAATAGTTCCAACTAGTTTGAAGCACTATTAAATGTAATTATATATTAAAGTTTTAGCTAAATACACAAAAATACATCTTTTTTATTAACAATATTGCAGCATTTATTACACCCATTTATTTGTTCTTATGAAAAAAGGTAAGAAAAACATCCCAACAAAATGAGGAAAAAAAAACTACGTGTCAAAGCTGGCTTCGAGTAAAACTGAGTTTTTAATTTAAAAAACATCTTATTTACATTAATTACAAGAAAACACACACTTTTAATCTAGTCTACAGTAACACATGTCCTTTATAGTGTCTACTTTTCATCATTCACTATGGTTAGTTACATTTTTTTTTTTCAACAGAAGGGCTAAAATCACTTCAAAGCATCTCTTTTTTTTTGACAATGTCTAAAACATTTGGATATATTCACAACACTGTTAGGACTAGATAAGAACAGCATTTTGTATTACACTATTGCTTCACAACCACCCATGTCACAATAAGACTCTTTAAAGACAAGGCACGGTGCAGGTAATCACATCTATCTGTAAACCAAAGGCGATCACAGCGTTTAAAATCTATACAAAAAAAAGGCTTTGTTACATACGGCTCGGAAGATTGAACATCTTTTAGCTTTCACAGTTAGAGTTGCTCTCGTCGCTGCCAGTCGTTCTACCCTGACCGTTATCTCTCTGCAACACGCGAGGTGTCAAGGGAAGGGAGAGGGCTCCCGTCGTAGTTAGGGGCCACGTTTGATGGAAGGACGGCTGATGCTGGGGATGGTTGGTTTCTTGTGCTTTCAGAGGAACCTTTTCACAAAGAGGACGTTGTGGAGTCCACCACCTCGCGGCCGTTGCAGACTGCTGGCACGTAGTTGGAAACTGATTCTGAGAGAGCAGAAGTAGTGACGTTAGCCAGGCTGCATGTTTGGTTTTCTTCTCTATGTAACTGATGAGAAGCGAGAACCAGAGACAAAAGCTGTGAGCAACAGGATGGAAATGGGCATGAGGTATTATTTGAAAGATGTTAGGCTATAGGATGATTTTTTTTTTTTTTTAATAGAGAGAATATTATGGCCAAAGTATAAATTATAAAGCACTGATAACTGGTTTATATATCCACCTTCATTTAATGCAGCTAAAATCCAACTTGGCCAGGTAAACCTGTAAAACAATAGATCCATGTGAAAATGAAAAGCAAAGCTGCTCTGTTAACAAACACTTTCTAATGTGACCCCTTGGATTTGACAAGGTTTGGTATACATGAAGCTATTTTACTAAAGACAAATGAATATTTTCAGTTCCGATAGTTTCACTTACAAACTGGCAAACTGTAAAAAGGACTTCAGTTAGCATTTGTTCAATTGCTTTCTTCTTCCCAATCTTGTGTGGATCTTTGCAGCTCCTCCAGAGTCACCATGGGCATTTCCACTGATACTCTGTTTAATACTATCCTTACTTAGCCTGTCAGTTTAGTTTACTCACGGAAAAGTTGTATTTATAGTGAGATTAGTTTACAAACTACACACCATGCTACTTCTGTAAACAGTTGGTAACACTGGATTCAATTTAGGCGTGTTGGTCTAAAATGGGCTGAATAGAAATGCACACAGCACCTTTCAGAAGTTTTTTTGGGGTTTTTTGTAAAATAATGGAAAATTCATTTTCTTTCCACTTCACTAATAAAAAAAACACACTGAAATGTGTTGTTACAACACGACAAAATGTGAAAAAAAAAAAATAAATCAAAGGGTTTGCTATGCCTTTGGCAAGTATTTGCTATGTTTCCTTCCCAACCTAAACAGCACCGCCAGTACAAACTTATAGTAAGAAATTTCATTTTCTTGAATTACAATCACATGTTTGTTTGTTTGTTTGTTTTTTATCACCTCAAATAACTTGTACTGTCCTGCACCATAATCTATTCTGATTATTCTGGTTGTAAAAGTAACTTTAATGACCATAAAGTTGTTTTTAACGTTACAGACCATAAACACAGAAAGCTGGCCTGAGCTGGATGAACAGAGCACACATGCCACCCAGGAACCCGTAAAGCTGACTAATTAAAACACTATATCTCTCTTTTGTAATCTGCTGGGTAATTTCTCGGCTCGCTGACTGGCTGGGATCGCTGCCTTTTTTTTTTTTTAATCTCTGCTTGTTGCCTGG